GTCCGAAATTCCGAGAGCCATTGGGGGCTCGACAAAATTCGAAAAAGATTCAAGAGGAAATTTAAAAAGAAAGAAGCAATTTTCCGCGCGATGTCCGCGCCCAAAAAGATCGAAACCGAACCGAAAGAAACGACGTTGACATTTATTAATCGCGCACGCGCGTGGCATTGCGCCAAACAACCATCCGACCAATCAATCCACCGGTTTTCCGAAGACACACCCGACCCCGTGCTTGGCCATTCGACAAAGAAACGATGAAAAAGGACGAAAAAGCGAGGATACTGATGCAATTCTCCACAAATCCCAATCTCCTGTAATTGGCCCAATCTTCCCAGCTTAGGACCCCTTGTGGCAACCGCACAGGAAATCGCGCGTTACAGAAAGTGGTTCGTCACATATGTCACATATGTGACGCCCAGGGGGTTCCAATATTGGCAAGCTCCTGCTTGCTTGTTGACACGTGTCGATTTCTCTAATCGTCGACACGCGGAGCACTTCTCTTTATGCCACTTACCGTTCGATTGCGTGCGGACGTCATCCAACGTGGCAACTTTGCTATTCTTCTACTTCCTCAGATTGGGCTCTCGACGATCCAAGGACGGGATTTTTCTCGTGCCGTTACCGTAACACGCATCCATTACCGGTTGCATCAGTAATTAACTGGAAGGGGAAAAGGGAGTCGGTGCATGGCGGCATGGCGGGGTGGAGGGCTTAGGGGTAGCGGGGGCAGGAACCTTTCCATCCCGGCTGCAGATTCTGGAAGCGCTTGCTAGTGGACGATGTGGTGGAAGCGGGGGAAACAGTTGCCAGTGCGAGGGAGGGACGCGAGGTAATCAGGATAGAGGGTGGTGAGAGTTTGGAAAAGTGTCGCGCGGAAACGATCGCGATCTTCGCAGGCGGGGATAGTCCGCGTTACTATGCAATAAACCTCAATCATATTGTGGCCTCGCCACGCGGCACTAAGGAGCAAAACATGGAGGCAGAAGGTTGGGACGGCGCACTGAATGGAGGGGTGGGGGTGCACTACTATAGCGAAGCGAGCAGCATAGAAGTGGCGGAAGGCGTCATGGGGGAGCGGATTAGAGGGGAACGTAACGGGGGTGGTGGGCTGGCGGAGGGTGAGGTATTCAAGGGGACGACGAGAGAGCGATCGGGGACGAAGACCGATCGCCCGTATCGGTACGTTGGCGAACTAGGGGACGGGTTGGGGAGGAGGGGGATCGGCTCCGTCGCCTCGCTGATGAGGTCGGAGTCGTGGCCGTGAGGTCGCCATGTTCTGGTCGGGGCGGCTCCGGATCTCGGTTTGGGTCGTCGTAGACNCTCCGTCGCCTCGCTGATGAGGTCGGAGTCGTGGCCGTGAGGTCGCCATGTTCTGGTCGGGGCGGCTCCGGATCTCGGTTTGGGTCGTCGTAGACGTGCAAGCTTGCCCCGCTCGCAAACTCTAGCTTCCTCTTCCCGGCCGCGGTTTCTTCTCTTTTGCGGGCCACCTCCGGATCTTCAGCCTCCGTGCCCGTGCGCAGCGCTTCTTCCGGCACAACTTCCCACTCCGATTCCGCAGGTTCTTCTTCGTTCTCCTCTTCTCCTTCTTCTTCTTCTTCTTCTTCTTCTTCTTCGCTCTGCTCCCCCTCGCTATGCTCGCTATAGCTTCCTTCTTCGGGGGTTTCGTCCTCTTCCCCTAGTACTTCGTCGCTTTCCCCCCTTTCTTCCTGCTCGTCTTCTCCTTCGTCACTCTCAGTGCTTTCTTCCTCCTCTTCCTCCTCTCGAATGGCAGCAAGCTGCTCCGCCGTTGGATGCCTGAAGAAGGCAGGATCGCGAACCGTCCGGGGATCCAAATACTGCTGCTGCGAYGGMGGGATGCGCTCGRCGGCTCCCTCCACACAAGCCGACCACTGGAGATACGGCGTCAATGTGCGAGAAAGCACATGAGGAATCGGGTGCTCGTCGTCTTGCGAGATGATGTCGAGAGGGAGATCGTCCGCCAGATGCACTACCGGGATCGTGAGCTCTTGCGCGATGAGTTCCTGATGTCCGGGCCGCACTGTACCGAACAGAAACGCGAGGAGTTCTCCCTCCACGTTGGTTCGCCAAGCCTGGATGAACAGCAACTCCAGGCGCTCTATGCAAGGCGGGCGCGCCTCGTCCTCGGTCCACGTCAGCCGTACCTCAACCAAGCACAGTGAAAGCTCGACGAAGTCTTCGCGCCACAAGTCCCAACGTGGGGGATGAATGTCGGGGACAGCAAGGGTCGTTAGACAGTAGGAAAGGCGAGGATGGATATCGGACTGCCAGAAGGTGGGGAAGGTGAAGAGGAGATCAAAAACGGAGATAGGAGAGAGACTCATTGGGGGCGAGGGAAGGGAACAACAACAGGGAGAACTGCCGGCGGATCACACTGGTACACCCGAAGGCCGTCGTATTCGATTGCTCGCGTCGCTGCGACCGTGTCCCCGGGATGAGCCAGAAGCTGGGTCCACTCGGCGACCAGATCGTTTACCCACGCGCATAGCGATGTCTTCACTGTCGAATGTTGTAACGGGAGGAGCGTGGAGAGATCGCCATTGAAGTTGATGACGACCGATATGCGGCTGACACCTGGCACTGCTCGCTGATGAACTGCTAGTGCCTCGGCCAATACCACTGCGTTGGGCCGACCTTCGATTCTGAACACCGCCGCTGCATACACGCCTTCCGTGCAGAAAAAGTGCGCAAGCCGCCGAAGATCCGGACTGAGGCGGGGATGATAGACTTGCCGGATTGTCAATCGATTGCGGGGCGCAAGCGATGCTTCGCTGAGGGCTCTCTCCTCCAGAAAACTCATGGCGATGACAACGGAGAGGCAGAGAGGGAGCAAGAGGAACAGGGGGATGGTGGAGAGTCAGAGCCGTCGTCCTTGGTTTCCTCGGAAGGAGAGATGGAGGGAGAAGGGGACGAATCAGAGGGCAGGAGGCGAAGATAGGACACGTGGCGTGTAATCGGGCGGGCCGATCAGCTGCCAGAGACTTCAGGGGCGAGGCGCACGGTGTCCACACCGTTGGGGCCGAGCTCATTCACGCGATATTGCCCGAGGAATCGTGGCGCTAGCTTACCTTGGCGAGCACATTTCCTCACCTGCACCACGTCCCCCAATTTGTACTGGGGCTGTGGACCTGCATTCCCATTTCGGGCCTCGTAGCTCCGGACCTATCAGCCCTGGGCTAGTTCGGTCATTTTCTGTCGCTTTCGGGCTAGCCTGGGCAGCGACCATTCCATTAACTCTAGGTGTCGTTTGGCCTTGCCCCGAGCTGTAGCTCTGGTGGGCCGTCGGTTCAATGCAGACTCATCCGGGAGGCTTGGTATTGAAACGCAAGCGACACTATTGGTCCTTAATTGGAAGGGGCTCAGCCCCGTCGATTCGTGGGGCGTTCCGCGATGGACCGCCAGGATGTGATCGACGATATCGGGCCAGGGTCTCGGATCCCGTGTCGCGATGTTTCATCACAACGCTGTCTTTATCATCCGGTTAGCGTTTTCGACCAGCCCGTTGGATTGTGACATGTGGGGTGTAGTGTTCCGTATGGCGACGCCATGTAGGACCATATTCTTTAACACTTTTCCTCTGAATTCAGCCCCGTTATTGGTCAGGATGTCTTCCGTATCCTGATGCATCCCGAGGAAACGGTTGACATATCGCGCGATTTTCGTGGCTTGTCGCGTGCGACAAGGATACGCTTCGATCCATTTCGAGAAATGGTCGACAAATACCAATAGGATTGAATATTCGCAGTTATTAGGGCCAGGGGGCACCACTATGTCGGTAGTGTCCATGCTCACTCTTTGAAATGACCGTTCAACAATCGTGGGCACTATCGATCTTGACGGCTGAATCGGCGCCTTATCAGCGGCGCAGACTTGACAGTTGGCGACAATGTATTTCACATCGTCGCGGATATTGGACCAATACCACTCATTTTTGTCGATAGCGGACTCTGTGATTCGTACAGCAAAATGAGCCGCAGTTTCCTCGTGGGCTGTTTTAACCCAGTCATACTGCATGAACGGATGCAGCACCACCATCCAAATCCCACTGCCGTCCGTTTTCCGTTGTTCTAATCTACCCTCTATCCATCGATAATCCCGAGCCCTTTCGTTGGCCCTCCTCCGATCTTCCTTGGTGAAATCTTGGAGGGGGTTACCTACTAGGGTGGCAATTAAGGCAATATCCGTCCATACTTCGGCCCTTCTAAACTTTCGGGTCTTTTCCAATCCTTCTGACGTGGCATCCAAAAAGCGAGCCTCGGTCGGAATTTTGTCGGTCCGGCACAAGGGGCACAACCATGGTTTACTATCGTTCTTGTATTGGATGCACGAGCCATGGGCCCGTGCAACACACTGTCGGCAATCTATCCAATCCGCATATCCTACCCCGTTAGGACGCATGGAGACCGAATAGACGCGGGAGATGGCTTCGCAAAAATAACAAAATTTGTTAGGCAGGGAGAGGAGAGACGAGGAGGAAGGGGGGGAGAGAGGGGTAGTGGGGTTACCTCCGTCACCCATCGCCACCGCTTTGCTTCTTGCCACGCGGAAGGACTGCCACTTGTCTGTACTTCGGCTCGTTGGTCAAGTCCGACTCTTTCCACGGTGTAATTTCTTCACCCTTTGGTACCTTGGCAGGTCGATGAAGACGTGTCAGCCCGTCCGCGTTGCCGTGTCGCTGTGTCTTTCGATGGACGATGTCAAAGTCATATTCTTGCAGTCGCACCGCCTAACGGCCAATCATGCCCATATAGTTGGTGAGCTTCTTCAAAGCTAGCAGAGGCTTGTGATCCATCACGAGGCGAAACTTCTGTCCGTAGAGATACGGATGGAAGTGCTGGATTCCCCAGACCACTGCATAGCATTCGCCTTGAGGTGCGGAGTCGTTCCTTCGTTCGTTCGGCACGGTTCGTGACGCGTACTCGATGACGTGTTCGCGACCATCGTTCCCCTTCTGCGCTCAAATAGCGGAAATAGCTTCCGGTTGCCAGTCCGTGATGAGAATGAACTGCTTCGAGGGGTCCGGCCGAATCAAAATAGGGGCCATTGCCAGGGCGTCTTTGAGGGTTGTTAAGGCCTGCTGGCACTCCGCGTCCCAATTGAGAGGCTGGTCCTTCCGTAACAGATTCGTTAGCGATCGTGCAATCGCGGCAAAGCCCTTCATGAAGCGCCGGCGGTACGACGCCAGCCCCAAGAAGGCTCGAACCTGCATCAGTGACGTGGGATCCGTGGCTTCCTTCACCGCCGCAACTTTTCTCGAGTCCGGCCACAATCCTCCACGTGTCACGACGTAGCCCAAGAACGAAATTTCCGAGAGGAAAAATTCGCTTTTCTCGAGCGCAGTCTTGAACCCAGCATCTCTCAGTGCGCCCAATGTCCACTCGATGTGTTGCGCGTGCCCGTGATAGGTCTCCGAATAGACCAGGATGTCGTCCACGTATATGATCACACAGAAGTTGATCATCCCTTGCGTCAGCCGTGTCTTGTTGACGAAATTTTGGAACGTCATGTTCATCGCTCGCTGAAACGTGACAGGCGCATTGCAAATCCCCATCGGACACCGCACCCACTGCCACATGCCCTCAAACAACACAAAGGCCGTTTTCGGTCGATCTTCTTCCCTTACCAGAATATGATGGAAGCCATGTCGAATATCAAACTTGCTGAAATAATTAGCGCATCCAATCGCATCCAACAGATCATCAATCCGAGGGAGGGGATACACATCTTTGATCGTGATTTCATTCAGCTTACGATAATCGATGCAAATGCGAATCGCTCCATTCTTCTTCGGTACTAACACTACGGGAAAGGACCAAGGTCCGGTAGCGGGTTCAATCTAGCCGCCGGCTTCGAACTCCCGAATTCGTTCGAGAACCTTTTTGCGTTCAATCAAGGAATAGCGACAAGGTTTGCAATGAATCGGGGTATGATTTCCTATCTGAATTTCATGTTGGATTACTAACGACAACCCAATGTCAGCGTCCGACACACTAATCGCTCCTTGATATTCCGTTAGAATATCCGCAATCACCCGGTGGATTTCATCCGGCACATATTGTGAAACGTGCAGTTCAAAAAGTTGGTCCCGGATCCGAACGTCAATCTGTTTTGTGTTCGCCTGTTTTGTCAAGTCGGGTGGAGGCGCCGAGATGAATGAATGATCCGATCGCCAGGAGAACACCGTGGCCATCATCTGAGCATCTTCTTCTCAGATTGCCACATGTCCTTCCGGGGTAATCCCGTCGCAGACATCCTGCCATGGCACTTCCTTAGTTGCAATCTTTATCCCCAGTCCGTCTGTTTCTGCTTCAAAACACCCAGGGGGTTCCAGAGAGCTTGCTTCCGCCCCCAAGCGTAACAATCTCACTTCGTTAGCCGATGTTAGTAAAGACCTAGGTAGTTCCATAATGTCGCAATAATGCTTTTTGTCGCTATACCTGGCGAGGAGAGGGGTGAWCCCTTCRTAYAGAGTTTGAGGGGGTTCCAAAGAGTCGACCATCCTCGAAATCTGCACGAGGGGCTCTCCCAAGATCATCGCCTTGGTCCTTTGAATTTTTCGGCTGGTCAGTTGCATCGTTCTCRCTATCGTTTTGGGCGGCGGGTAGTAAAAGCGTTGTCGTACCAATTTCAAGATCTCCGGATCATCTTCGTTACTGCTTTCCGCATTATCAGCTGATTTTCCTTCTGCGGGTTCGTCCCAGGAAATCATGCGGAGAGTCCCTGCCATCATCGGCGAAACCCGTGGAACCTCGTTAATAGTAGTGCGAAGGGTCAATCGCATGGGCACAGCGTAGGGTTTTCCTCCTGTATTTCGGAGGACGATCGATCGTCGTTCGAAATCCAGGTTTGCTCGTAACGCCACAAGAGCGGGAAGTCTGAAAAGAACGTCGTACGTATTAACATCTAGTACTACGACATCCCCAAGCGCGTGTACTTTTCCCAATTAGAAAGCGACGTTGGTCATCCTCCCCACAGTTTTAATATTTTCCTCATCTGCCGAAACGAGCTAATCTTTCTCGGTGAGCATGATCAGATCATTTTTCCTGCCTGCCCTTTCGACCACTCTCAGTGAAATAGCCAACACAACTGCTCCTGAGTCTATAATGGCGTTGTAAGGAATTCCCCAAATTTCTATATCGCACTCTGCGGATTTCCACGGAATGGGTTTAATCCGTAGAAAATGATCGTCTTTCTGAATTAATCCTATCCGTATCGGATCTGGAGTGCTTGTTGGGTTTTCTTCCGGCGCGGGGCCTTTGGCTTTTACGTTCGGTGCTCGGGCGAGAGCGAATCGCTTTTGATTCGCTTTACAGTGCTGTAACATTCGCTCGTTGGCTTGCTCGGAGATCGAGAGTAGATGACCGATCGGAAGGGGAATCCGATGATCCAAGGCTCGGATGATGTTTAGTACATCGATCTCTCCTGTGACGAAGGTGGGTCCTCCCGAGTCCATTTCTCCTAAGGACGGTCGCCACTCCGCCACCTCTTTCGGTTCTGATGCTGGTCTGATTGTTCCGATCATTCCTAGTCCAGGATATCCCAGCGACACATACTGATCTAGCGGAATTAGCTTCGCGGCCTCTTCCGTGGTAGCCAAGGCACTTCCCCCACCCTCTACTTCTTCCATCAAGGCTCCGACTCGTCCAGGTCCGTTGGCGATGGGAGCCGCGGCCATGGGTGCGGCTCCGGTCCGCTGTTGCGGGGGTCGGTGGGGGCAATCACGGGCTAGATGGCCTAGTTGATGACAGGCGTAGCAGACATTCAGATTGTTTGCGACTCCTCCGAGCGCAGGGGTCGGGGCTAATCCTTGCTGCATTGGAGGGGCACGCACCGCAATGGGTCGCATGTTCCTCATCATGGCTTCTAGCCGAGCATTGTGCTCTCGCTGCTCCTTTTTGCTTTCTTGGATCAGACTAATCAAGGTTTTGGTTACTTCGAAAATGGCTGCTGACTCGTTCGTTTGTGCGGGCGCCTCAACTAGAGGTGGGGGTAATGCCCTGACGGGCGGGGGCATCATAGGAGCAGAGATGCTCGGAGTCTCACTTAGGATTACTCATTTGGGGCCTATCTGTTCCATATAGGTGACAGGTCCTGATACGAACCCCATGTTTTCAAATTTGTTTTGTAAGGCAGCCAGCTTTGCTCTTGCTCGAGCGAGCTCGGTCGAATCTCCGTCTCTAGGGTAATCTTCTCCTTCCAGGAAGTTCGCCGCAAACTTTCGTTCCATTTCTTCCGCATCAGCCATAATTTGTTGTAGCGTATGGGTGATAGGGGAAAACTGCTTTCGCAACTTAGCCCTTATTGTTCGACTGCGGAGTCCGTCAATGAACAGATCTCTCCCTACTTGCTCACCTCGCTCAGTTTTTACGAACATTCTGTAGAACCGGTTTCGATATTCTGCGACGGATTCGAGCCGTTTTTGCACTCGATCCTTGATCATGTACAACGCTTGCTCAGGGTGGACATAATCGAATCGGTTCAAAAAGTCCCGCTCGAAGGTCGGGAGATCCACCCATACATAGGTACTATACCAATGATGAGCGTCTCCTCTCATTCGAGCCGGAATGTTGATCTGTGCTTCGTGATCATCGTACTACTGCGCTCTAAGCGTGGCCAGCCATGCTCCTGCGAGATGGTGCGCCGGATCAAATAGATAGAGATCCGGTGGCAACATGGGAGCTCATGCACGTGGGGCAGGTTGATTAGGTGGATGAGCATTTTGTTGCGGAACTAGATTTTGCACGTTGGCAGCCATATTGGCTGCTCGTCGGTTAGCCAATCTGCTTCTGGTGACGATCGGGGCGCGTCTATGCGCGTTCCGAGGGCGAGGTCGCCCACGGTTAGCCAGGTCGCCTAATTAACGTGTTATCAATCTCAGGACCCTAGCCACGTGTCGGGCTCCGATACCAACCTCACACCCAGCGCGACTTCCTGATCGAAGTGGAGTGTGGACCTGGAAGTGCGAAAAGGGGTATGCCAAGGATTTTTGGGGGACGTGGGGGAATCTTAAGGATATGAATGCAATTAGGCGAGCGAGGGGTGCGCACGCAAGGGTCTCACAGTCCCAAGGAACCGAGACACTGTGGACGACGGGTTACGGGAAAATTCCTCTGTGGTGGAGGTGGTCCCAGAAAGTTAGGCCGTCGGGGGCCGCCACGTGGCGCAGGCCACCGCGTATTTGGGTTGGGCCTTCGGAATTCCGGAGTGCTCGGTGCGCCGCTGCGTCGGCAGTTCACGCAAAACGTATTGGGCCAATAGGGGGCTATGGCCGGCCACGGAACGACACTGAGTTGATGATACGGGAGAAGGAGGCGGAAAGGATGGAAACTGGTGGTGATCTCAACGAATCCTGGATGGGTGAAGTAGTAGGTGTGGTCGGGGGAAGGGAAATCGGAGCACCGAGGGTCGCTAGTGGTGGCACAGTGGAATTCTCGCGGACATAGCCGATTCTCCGTGTGACAGGGGTATCGTGTCCTTATGAGCTCGTTTATTATAGGGGTGAAATAATCCGGGTCATAGGATGAGTCTGAGCCCCAAGATCGCGTCATGGTTTCATCGTCAGTGGGATAGCGCGGGTCGAGATATCGTCACCGCGCATGAGCACGTGTCAGATGGGCGAACTTAGTTGCGCCTCAGCGTGCTCGTGCGGGATGGTGGTTCCGTCGCGAGTCCTGTCTGGGCGGGCGGATCGACGCACGGGAATGCGTGTAAGGGCGCGACTCGGATCGCGTTTACACATGTTCTCGCGCGGCGTTCACGGGGCCAGATTTCGGATCGTGGATTATGCAAGATGCAATCATAACACAATCCCATCATGAGATAAGCAGAATGAGAACAAACCCACTATCGGGACCAGGTTCCTATCCCATCTACAGTGACATCAAGCGCAGGCAAAGGTTCGACGTAGACGTAACACAAGGACAGGGATTCTCAGCAAAAAGATAGATAAGCAGTCCCCTCATCCATACATTTGACAATCATACACATAATGCGAGCAAAAACGGACATCGCGAAGACAGATATGAGCAAAAATCCAAGCCCAGATTTCATAAAGCCGAAACGAAAATGAGAACGGGCAAACCGCCCGGAGCCGCAGTCAAAATGTATGTACACAGATGAAGAGGGGGAAGAGACAAGAAAACAGCAAATCCGTGTCCATCGACCTCAACTCTCTTCTCCTCTCTCTCTCTCTCTCTCTCTCTCTCTCTCTCTCTCTCTCCCTCCGATGCGGACAGTCCGTCGTCACGCACCAACCCACGAAGTTGTCACCCCGCTTAGTCCTCCCGCACCCGTCAGATTCGCCCGTGCCCACAGTCCGTCGTGGCCCACGTCAATCCCTCGCGTTCGGCACCAGCCCGTCGGGTCGCCCAACTCCTGCTCTAGACACCTCTTACTTCGCTCGTGTGCCGACCCTTCCTGATCGCACAACCCCAAGCCTCCAACAACGGGTTAAGAGAGCTGACTAATCGCGCAGCCGAAATTTATAGCGTGCATGCATGCGCGAAGAACACGGAGTTACCAAGACTTAGAGTGAGGATTAGAGACGGAACGCCTGCGTTCTGCATGATCGGCCGCGGCGTGAGGGACGTAACCCTTCTCCACACATCGATCCGAGCATGCAAGCCGCGGCTTACAAAATTTCAGCAAAAGAAAGAGAGGGAGGGCGGGAGAGACGAAGTGCAAGAAGAGAGATACAGTTACAATGGCGCCCGCCCAAAATTACAGTTACACATACGATTAAGGGCGCCCACTAATCAGAGTACCGTTGCAGCCGCATGAAGAAGCGCATAAACAAAAGGCGCCGCGTGGCAGGAAAAATCCTAATTACTGAATTCCTAAATTCCTATCTAATGCGAAAAAGCAAAAAGCACGAATTACAGAAGGAAAGTCCGAAATTCCGAGAGCCATTGGGGGCTCGACAAAATTCGAAAAAGATTCAAGAGGAAATTTAAAAAGAAAGAAGCAATTTTCCGCGCGATGTCTACGCCCAAAAAGATCGAAACCGAACYGAAAGAAACGACGTYGACATTTATTAATCGYGCRCGCGCGTGGCRTYGCGCCAAACAACCATCCGACCAATCAATCCACCGGCCGTCCGAAGACACACCCGACCCCGTGCTTGGCCATTCGACAAAGAAACGACGAAAAAGGACGAAAAAGCGAGGATACTACCTGTCTCTTATACACATCTAGATGTGTATAAGAGACAGGGTAAGAGCAGGTACCACTAGCACCCAGGGAGAGGCTCCATCTATTGGTGGGGAGCTTCACCTGCTGGAATACGGGTCCAGCGTCCCATATACAGAGTGAATCAGGAATATACCAAGAAAAAGGGTTGATAAGACGTTTGCCAACATTGATTACTCTGGGATCCAGAGAATTGACTGTGCAGGTTGTTAAGAAACTGGAGGAGACCTCCTCACCCTGTGACAGGCGCCAAGTACCTGCTGCTGAGAAGCTAGTTCCTCCCTCCCCCAACTACCCCTTAGCAGATGTCGTTATCCAACTACTAGCCTGCCAGCATTGATTGCCCTGATTGCTAGGGGATTGACTGAGCAGGTGATGTGTCTTGTGAAGGAGTGAGCATTTGATAAGCGCTGCACGGGAGGCACCGGGGAGGTTTATCTCATTCTTGTCTGATCCAATGTTAAGTAAAAACTTCCATCAGGGCAAGGGGGTGCGGGGGAAACGGGTCCAGGAAATCAGACGGGGGTCTCATCGGGAAAGATGGATCAATGTGAGTCCAGTCATTGAAAACGAGTTTGTAGTCTCTCGGGATTTCTTGTCCTGCTACGGTGGCCTGATCCCCTGTCCACTCGATTCGAGCCACATCCATCTGCCCCGATCCCCCCCTAGCCACTCACTACAGAAACCTGTATCCTGGTCTGTTAGATAGATACATCTACGCCTCAGCTCCAATTGTACCAGCTCCCTATTTGTCCTGTCAGTTCGGGGCCCTCGATTTTAACCCCCTCCAAGGCAAAGAGGCAGCGCTGCCATCAGAGCGCCCACAGGACAGATCATCCACCCAAGCTGTAAAGGTTGTTGGCGTAGGTAGGGGCACTTTCCAGTGCTGGCAGTGTCCACTGTCCTGTCAATATGGCTTGCCAAAACCATGGCCAGGGGGTGTCCGGTACCATTTTCCTCCAGATACGATTCCACCACCGCCACGTCAGTAAGGTCACCGGGTACTGCATAAAGATATATTCAATGGTTTCGTTTTTTTTTTGCATTGGGAAGGCAGACAAGGATCGGTGGCACAACGGGAGTGCTTTTCCTTCTTGTTCCAGGTGTGTATGGTCAATCAACCAAGCATTCGTCGACAGGAACGATGAGCGATTAGCCATTGTAATGACGTGATTTTTTTCGGTCTCGCTTTGCTTCCATTGAGCCTCTTTTAATTGGCTTGAGGAGGGACCAATCCATGTTCAGGTGTTGAGCCCATCTATCGTTGATTTGATCCCTTAGCACTCTCTTGGGTCTAAGCATCCTATATATGAATTTGACAGATATGGTGTTAAGGTGGACTCCTTTTCCGGTCGCTGCTGCTGTTCCCCGGACTGTTTGCCATTGCCATTCTTCAGGGTCAATGGGCAGCTCGTTTATTCGTGTTTGGGGAGAGAAGACCGTAGAGTCATGTCCCTCTTGTAGCACACGCACTCGGAACACCTCGTTTTTTTCTCACCACTCAAAGGGGCTGTGGGAACCAAGAAGCTTACCCCTTGGTCCAATGGTATAATATTCCACCAACACGTCTGATATCCGCACCATTTGAATCCGGCCTATCCGTGCCCTGTCCCCTGGTATAGCGACCCAGTCCCCTTCCTCCAAGGTGGGGCCATGATTAAGCACCCTATACCAAGCGAGAGGGAATGCTGCAATGATTGTTGCCAAGTGTCTCTCTGTGTAATGACAATAGTGGAGGATGCCTTGAAGCTGGGTTGTTGTTTTTCACTCCTTCGTCTCACGGTCCCACAGGTGCCCGGCGGGGAGTATTCCATTCTTCACCCATCCCTTCCAGGGGGCAGTTGAGTTGTTCAAAATCTGCTCGTGACAAGGGGTAATCCACCGGTTAGTATCGAACAACAGTTATCGGTACACTTCCTCGCACAACGTCGGTGCCTGTTTCTCGGGAGGGGGGGGGAGCCTGCGCCAACTTTTTAATAGTGAAGGCCAAAATTTATTTGGTGTTTGATCGTGGATCTTGCGCGGGATTGATCAGTAGCAATCCTCTAGCCATGTGAGCGGGCCAACCTCTGGTGGAGCCGGCGGAGCCAAACGGGCAATATGCTCTATGCCGAGGGTTCCCCAAAGGCTGTCCAAGGAGAAGATCAAAGTCTTCAACCATTTAAGACGGGGTGCCTGAACTT